ACCTGAGCCAAAGGCAGCCACTTAACGACTGAGCCACCCAGGCACCCGAAAAATACCATTATTGAAGAAGAGGCCAGGCTGAGGATAAAATGTGTCTTATGATCTAGGGAAAACCACAGAGTATTTGCAGGGAGATTTTTTTCTCTGAGTGGTTTTGCTGCCATGTACTAGGTAAGAGGATGTACCTAAGAAACAAAACTTGTAAAATCCTCACTTCTCTGCAGCATCTGCATCATGCAGGAGATTTTGAGAAATGCAAAACCTCAGGCCCCAACACCAGACCCACTGAGTTAAATCTGGAAGCAGATCTCCAGGTGATTCATATGTACATTAAAGTTTGAGAAGGACTAGTAAACCAACAATTCTCATCTTGAGGTAAGAATAAACTTTATGAAAAGAAGGAAAAAGTCTCAAGATGCCTTCTCTTGAAAAACTCTCTCAGGTCGCCCTTGGCCCACCTGAAACATAAGTCATACACATTGTGGTAAGACTTGTAGGTCATGGGGAGCCTGGATAGTTTAATTGGTTAAGCGACCGACTCTTGATTTCGGCTCAGGTCATGATCTCAGGGTCGTGAGAGCGAACCCCACCTCATTCTGCGTTGAGTGTGGAGTCAGCTTGAGATTCTTTCTTCCTCTTCCTCTGCCCCTCCCTCTCCAAAAATATACATATACATACATACACATTTAAGTTGGAAAAAAAATAAGTAAAATTCTGTCAGATGGTGGAGGAGATGGGAGTGCTGGAAGGGAGTGGTTTGCGATTTTAAATAGGGTGGCAGGGAAGGCTTCGTTAAGGTGACACGAGTGAAATTTGAAGATCCTAGCATGATCTTCACTCCCATGTGGCCAGGCCTGGTCCTGGGTGCTCAGGAGCCCTGCTGATCTCGGTGGGCAGACGGTTCAGAGTACTGAGGGCCTGAGGCCGTCATGTCATAGGAGCCGCATCAGCAACGGGTGGGCTGGGCCTCAGGTGGGAGGTCAGAAGGGGAGACAGCGGCACAGTCAGCTCTGCAAGGGCGCCCGGAGCAGGCAGTGGCCCAAGAGGGTTTGTTTGGAATGGGAGCCACCAAGGTGTCCTGTGTCGATGGTAGGGCCAGTAGAGAGGATGGATGTCCCTGAGGGCACCAAGAAGAGACTATCATAACTGCAGGGCTCCTGGTGAGTAGGAAAGGGCGGGCTCCTCCTGAGGATCTGCTTTGGTTCTGCTGCGAGGCCAAGGGAGCATCCTTGGCAGGCTGACGGGGCCTCTTTGGTGGAAGGGCCTAGGTAGGGCTAGACAGAAGAGTCCAGAAGCATGCCAGAACCCAAGGAAAAGCCAAGTGCAGCTTCAGCTCCAAGGAGTTGGCAGGGACCTTTCAGGGGTTGGCAAGGACCAAGGTTGAGGGGGACGGTTTGGCTTAATGTATGGGCAAGGGCCGTGGCATGGGCTGAGGTGAGCAAGGAGGTGGCAACTGTCCTAGAAACCTGAGGTCAGAGAGCAGAGGCCTGGGTGAGTACTCGGCTTGAGGGCTGGATCTCAGGAGACCCCAGCCCACCCCACATCTTCCCTCCTAGGCAGCCTGCCCCAAGCCCTGGGCCCAGAAATGTGCCCCGTTTCCCCGCCCAGTCCCCCTGAAGTGCCCACACTCCAGGCCCCACAACCCAAGGTGGATCTTTGCTGGAGCCCTGGAGACTCTATGGAGAGAGGTAATGGCAGGTGGCAGAGGGGGGTGGAAGCAGCAGTCTGTGTTCAGCTCTGATGGCTTTTTCCCTCCCCCTGCAGAAAAGCTGGTGGGGCACCTGGCCCGGGCCATCGAGGATGGGGATGAGAAGGGGGCAGCCCAAGCAGCAGCCATCCTGGCTCAGCATCATGTGGCCCTCAGTGTCCAGCTCCAGGAGACCTGCTTCCCTCCTGGCCCCATCAGGTGAGGCCTTCTTCACTCTGACATCCCAATCCTTCCAGGACCCCCACCTTCCCCCTGACCTCTGTTCTGGCCCAGGCTACAGGTCACAGTTGAAGATGCTGCGTCCTCTGCCCACGTCTCACTGCAAGTCCACCCCCACTGCACCATTGCGACCCTCCAGGAGCAAGTAAGCATGGGGTCTGGGGAGCCCTGCTGTGGGCAGGGGGCCTTCAGTGACACTGCCTGGCCTTGATGCTCTGGCCCCAGGTGTTCTCGGAGTTTGGCTTCCCACCAGCTGTGCAGCGCTGGGTCATCGGGCGGTGCCTGTGTGTGCCCGAGTGCAGCCTTGCTTCCTATGGGGTCCGGCGGGATGGGGATCCTGCTTTCCTCTACCTGCTCTCGGCCCCTCGAGAAGCCCCAGGTGAGTCCTTGATGTGGATGGGATGAGGAAGGCAAGGTGCAGCCTGCCACACCCCTCAGCTCCACCTCGTCTACTGCAGGACGCAGTCCTCAGGGCCCCCAGAAGACAGATGGGGAGCTAAGTCGCCTGTTTCCTCAGTCACTGGGGCTGCCCAGAGCTCCTCAGCCAGCCAGCTCCAGTCTCCCCAGCCCCCTTCAGGTGGGTAAGGGGCTGGGCAGGGTGGGCCTGGGACTCTCTGGGCCCTGGAAGGAAAGAGAAGCAACTGTCTCTCCCTACCTCCCCAGCCCGGCTGGTCCTGCCCTTCCTGCACGTTCATCAATGCCCCCAGCCGGCCTGGCTGTGAGATGTGCAGCACCCAGAAGCCCTGTACTTGGGACCCCCTTCCTGCAGCCTCCACCCAGCAGCCGCCAAAGGTACGAGAGGTGGGGAAGGGGAAGGGGGCAGAGTGGCCGAACAAGCAGAATGACCTATCTTTCCCTCCCGCCCAGGTCACAAAGAGAGAGGATGGCCCAATCCCTCCAGGCCCGAGGTCCCTGGACCCCCTCCTGAAACTCTCAGGGGACCTTTGCTGACTGCTCACTAGGATCACGCCACGGCTGTGGAGGGGCCCCAGTCTGGGAGTCATTAAAGACACTTCTGAGCCAGCTGCGTGCCCCATATCTGTGCCTTTCTGCAGACTGAGCTGCTGGGAAGATGGAGGGTGGGGCACAGCCCCACTGGGATGAAACTTGGCAGAGGTGGGGCCTGGTCCTCATCAGCTGGTGGGGCAACCCAGCCAGGTCCAGGTGGCTACTCAGGAGTCCTTGGGACTCCAAACCCCAGGGATCCTAGAAGCATGGGGCTGAGCTCTCTAACCAGACCCCAAGAGTATGAACCCCCATCCCAGGCCCGCTGCTGACCTTGCCTCTTGTCCACCCAGAAACCTTCAAGCACGTGCTCTGCTTTCTCCCACCTGGCTCCCACCCTTCCCAGACTCTGGCTACCACTGTGGGCTGTTCCAGCCAGGATGCTCCTTACATTCCCCTTCTGGGGACAAGAAAAACTCAGAAACTAGGAGCAATAAGGCAGGGCTGTGTGCTGCTGGGGCCACCCCAGCTGCCCAGCCAAGAGACCAAGAGCACATTTGGGGTGGCTTCTGCCTACTCTGCTTTCTCAGCACGGCTGGAGGCTGTCTCCCTTCCCCAGCAGCTCCTCCCTGAGGCCAGGCCTCTCCCCTGTTGAAATGCTGCCAAGTGCGCCTTATTCCCCCGAGGATGAAAGCCAAGTGGTTCACACACCTACAGATGGCTGGTTATTCCCCCAGGCCCTTTTCAGCTCTGTGATCGGGTGCTCCCCACCTCCACGAGTGCTGCAACCTTCCCTAACAGGGATTCCCTGCCCCACACCCAGTACCGCCTGTGGTCACCCAGTCACCAGTCTGTAATGGCAGTGCTGGCCCGCCATGCAACATCCCTAGGAGCTTGAAAGCAAGGGTCTTCGTCCCTGAGTCCCCTGCAAACTCGTGCTCCCATCACAACAGCTCAAACGTGTGTTTAGAAACTTAATTTATTTCCATGATGGAGGCTGAAGGATCTGGAGCTAGAACCTGATCTTCTGGCCCCTCCCCTCTTTAACCAAAGAAAGTGGGGCTTGGCCAAGAGGGCCAGCTGAGGCCTGAACAGGTCCAGGGTGGCTCCTTGGCTTGAGGCTCCCCGTTCACACAAGACAGCAGACATTGGGCAGGGTCACTTGGGTGGCCGATATGCCAGTTTCCGGCTCTTCAGGACTGACCACTTATGCCGCTTCATGGTGTAGATCAGGGGAATTAGCAAGCCCATCATCATCAACATCTGGGGATGAGGCAGGCTCAGAAGAAGGAAGCAGAAAGGACCCCTGCCCGGTTCCCAGCCCCTGGGCCCAACCCTTTCACCTTGAGCCCCATGCGTTTCCGATGGTCATGCTCTGGCTCGGATGCCCAGCGCAGGAAGGTACACACGTCCTTAGCCACCTGGGACATAGTAGCTGGGGTGCCTGAGTCAAGGAAAAGTGGTAAGGGCTGCCCTTGGAAGTCCCTACCCAACCTGAGGTAGCCCTGGGGCACCCCCCTCCACACAGTCAGGATGGGCTCCTCACCAAGGCTTCACAAGGAACGGGACCCCCTTCCCCCCAGCACACAGCGGTCTGGGCTAGACAGGACTGTGGAGGCTGCCCATAAGCTGGCTCAGACACACACAGTGCGTGAGCCAAGGAGAGTGCAGGGCCCAAGACAGGAGCAGCATCCCTGGCAGTGGGAAGAGGACCCAGGGTGCTGATCACCAGGTGGGGGGCTTCTCACCATCATCAAACTCCAAGACCTCATCATAGATGGGAGGAGCCATGCCAATGGCCTGGCCAGGAAAGTAGGGGTTGAAGTAGAGGCCCTCTCGCAGTGACACCCCGGTGGGCGGCTCGCAGTAGCCCGTTAGCAGGGAGAAGACGTAGTCCTCACCACCGTGCCTGAGACCAGATCCTGCCTCCTGAGCCCTGGCACAGGATGGACCATCCCCCTCCCCCCCCTCCCCCGCCGTAGGCAAGCCCGTGTACCTAGCTCTAGTGATGTAGCTGAGGTCGGGGGGCAATGCTCCATTGTTGGCTGCTCGAGCGGCCTCAGGGTTGGGGTATGGTTTCGGGAAGTAGTCAGACAGCTTCCCTGGCCGCATGAACATCTCCCCATCCTCGTTGGGGCCGTCCTGAACCTCCACCTGCCACGAAGAGCCCCATCACAACCCTGCTGTCCACCACCGTGGGAGCCCCAACCCCCAGGTCCTCCTCATCCCCAGGCCACGCACCTCCTCTGCGAGCGCCTTAGCTTCTTCTTCCGTGTAGCAGACACCCACCAGGTGGCGGTAGGCCACGTAGTCCATGCTGTGGCAGGAGGAGCACACCTGCTTATACACCTGGAAACCCCTCCGGATACTAAAGAGAGCGTAAGGATTAGGAGCGCCAAGGATGCCACCCCGCCCAGTCCACCCAGAAAGCCCCAGTCATCAGCCAGCAGCCCACCTGGTGTGGTCCAGGGAAGAGAGGAGGCCACGGTGGGACCACGGGTAGCTTGGGGGGTGCAGCTCCAGGTCACTGGCACTCACGGCCGAGTGCAGAGCCACAGCTAGCCCTGCACCCCCTGCCGCCAGCATGCCCAACGCTGACAGCATCCCTTTCCGGCCCCGGGACAGACCGGCCTTCGACGACAAGGACACTGCCTGCAAGAGCCCCGCTCAGCGCCTGCCAGAACGCCGCCCGGCCCTGCCTGGGGGTCTGCGTCCCCGCGCCCACCTCTCCCACGCATCCACCCCGCAGCGGCCCACTCCTGCGGAGCACCACCGCCCGCCCCGCTCCCGCCCTCCCCCGACTCCTCGCCCGCGACGCGGCCCTGAGGAGGGGGCGTAAGGCTGGCGTTTGAATCCGGGGCTGGGGATGAGCTCGATGCAAGCAAGGGTGCTGGGGCAGGCCAAGGTCACAGGCAGCTGTCCGAGGTCAGGCTGAGGTCGCCTCAGGACGCAGGCCCAGGCTGGAAGGCCGGAGCGGGAGCGGGCCCGGGCGCGCCCTCCGGGGAAAGCGCCCAGCCCCGAGCCCGCCGCGAGCCCGCCCCGCCGCCCCCCACGCTCCGCGCAGAGCGCCCCCGCTGCTCGGAGGGCTGCGAGCCTGGTCCGACTCCCGGGCGCCTCGGGTCGGCAGGCGGCGGGGGTCCGGCCGGGGCAGGGGCGCCGGGTGGCCCAGGCCGCTCCCTCGCTGCCCGGCCCGCGCCCAGAGCCTCCCCGCCGTGACCTTCAGGGGCTGCGGGGCCACACGGCGGACAGGGCCTCGCGGCCAGAGCTCACCTGGGGCGTCCGCGGCGGGAGCTGCCCGGGCCGCGCGCCGCACAGCAGACCCCGGGCCCGCGCGCCCGGCAAACGCGCGCCCCGCGGGCCCAGCACCGCCCCGCGAAGCGAAGCCGCGGCCGCCGCCATCTCGGCCCTCCCTCTGCAGCGCGGCCGCTGCTCCCGGCGGCCCCTGCGGCAGCCCGG